GAAATTTTTAAGGATAAATTTAATGTTTAAATATAATCTCTACATGTGTCATGGTATTAAAGGAGTTTGACGTGAAAGTTTACAAGGGCTACAGTGTCGTTCAAGAAGATCCTATATTGAGGTGAAGAAGTGACAGGTAAAAAAAAGCAGTTGTGATATAAACAAAAAGTAACCCTAGCTGTAGTGGAGTCACTTATTATGAGAGAGAGAGAGAGAGAAGAGGGCGGTATAACTATAAGAACTTACCTGTGTGCGAAAAAACTTGTACTGAAAGTAAATATTGCATGTCACACCCCCTGTATACAACTGACCGCCTGTGACCCCAAATGGAACATGCCTTCTGTTCCAACGACTGCCAAGGATTTACAAGCTTGATTGACAGGGTTTTGAACCAATATGTGTATAGTGTCAGGGAAAACCTAAAATTCAAAACGAAAATTTATTTCCATGGAACAAATGAAAACGACTTACAGCAATGGATCTTAACATACAAGTAACAAACTACTAGTAACAACAGGCACTTCGCATATAGATCTATGTACTTCAAGAGTGAATATTAGCTTCTATAACTATAGCTACAGAATGGTATACACTTGTTTAGAATATCAGCAACAACACTAGTCTTTACTTACTTACAATAACATGAACTACAGGTTATTCTGTCATCTACTAAGGCAACAATTAGAAACAAGACAACAAATACTATACTAAATAAAGAATCTATAAATAAATCTAATATCTACGTTAACAGAATAAACCATAACATGCTAATATCTATAAAACCAAAACTCTAGAGTCCTCTATAACAAAAGAACTTTTAAGAAATAAACTTAGGTTACGGGTTAGTTAGCTTGATATACAATGTTTTATATCCCCTATGCTATGCTGTAGACTTAACAAGGGGTACTGAAACGTAGTACATGATGTACATCATAGGTTTCCTTTACTAGTTTTATTCCTCACTTTCACATAAAAGAGAGTTAACATGATTGTAAATAAAACTTGCTCTTAGTCAAAAAGGTATCTTGTACAACATGAATGTCATCAATCCAAGTACTAGTATTTCTTTTTTTCCTGTATGGTTTCACATGACCCACCTTCTTTAGGTCATTATGGCCTGCACACAAGTTGAGGTATTCTAAAATCACCCACTTGAGAGTTTGCATGTGTCTCTTGCAATGGCCCAGGTGAGTTAACAGTTTTTTGAACTCCTCACACTGTTGGAGTTTCTTCCCTGTCAGACTTTAAAAACTGGATATTTCATAGGACCAGGCTCACAACACAATCCTCAAAACTGTGAGGTTTTGTACCTCAGTCACACCTATAGGGTTTCTCACAGGTGTGTCCGCATGTGTCTCTTCAGTCTACCCAGCCTACTGAACTGCCTACTGCACTCCTCACACCTGTAGGGTTTCTCACCTGTGTGAGTCCGCATGTGTTTCTTCAGATTACCGAGCTCACTGAACTGCCTGCTGCATTCCTCACACCTGTAGGATTTCTCCCTGTATGAGTCCGCATGTGTGTCTTCAGATTACTCAGCTGAGTGAACTGCCTGCTGCACTCCTCACACTTAAATGGTTTCTCACCTGTGTGAGTCCTCATGTGTTCTCTAGATCTACCCAGCCTACTGAACTGCCTACTGCACTCCTCACACCTGTAGGATTTCTCACCTGTGTGAGTCCGCATGTGTGTCTTCAGATTACTCAGCTGAGTGAACTGCCTGCTGCACTCCTCACACTTAAATGGTTTCTCACCTGTGTGAGTCCGCATGTGTGCCTTCAGATTAGCGAGCTCACTGAACTGTCTGCTGCACTCCTCACACCTGTAGGGTTTCTCACCCGTGTGAGTCAGCATGTGTGCCTTGAGATTACACAGCTGACTGAACTTCCTGCTGCACTCCTCACACCTGTAGGGTTTCTCCCCTGTGTGAGTCCGCATGTGTGCCTTGAGGTTACCCAGATTACTGAACTGCCTGCTGCACTCCTCACACTTGTAGGGTTTTTCACCTGTGTGAGTCCGCACTGTGTGCCTTGAGATTAACCAGCTGACTGAACTGCCTGCTGCACTCCTCACACTTGTAGGGTTTCTCCCCTGTGTGAGTCCGCATGTGTGTCTTGAGATTACGCAACGTACTGAACTGCCTGCTGCACTCCTCACACCTGTACGTTTTTGTGGCAGATCTCCCATCTGATCCTCTTTTGAAGCCATCAGAGCCACCGCTGTTTGTTGCCATGGTAACAAAGCTGAATTTACTTCTGTAGTTCTGTAGTATGAAGAGGAACAACATTTAATTCAACAGTTTCTGTCTTCGTATTTTATCAGGCAAACACTTAAACTGAAGAAACTATCAAACAGTCCTCAAATTTGCATTGAGAAAAGCAAGGGTTATCAGATAGGTTGGTGCTTGCTTTAATAGGTTTGATGCTATTTTATGGATGACATTCTCTGAATTCCTCCAAACCAATGTGGGTGAATATATAAAAATTCCAGGCAAAAAAAATGCTGCTATATCACAGAAATGCAAAGTTGGTATTGTTAATTTGTGGTAGTAAATAGTGACTTTTAGTTTTACAGCCAGCACAAGAGGGGTTTTGGGCATTTTCTTGAGTTCCGTGTTGAGTGTCGGCTCCCTACTTTCGCTAGGTATTATCATGGACTACAGGAGATGGCACCCATTACCATAGCTTCTCCAGAAAACAGGAAAATTCTACATTTTGTTGCAGTACCTAGGAAATCTGCCAGAGTGATAAAAAACTAAACATTTCTTCAATGGGATCTAACTTCATGCCAATTTTTAGGACAATCCATCCATAGCTTTATAGTACATGCAAACGCAACTGAAAGTAACTTTCTTGGAGAAGTCAATAATATGTTCTCACCTGCAAAATATCTTTTACAAAGTCAAGTCTTGAACTGCTACACCAGAGTACTGATGTCTAGAAGAACACAGGTGAAGCCTCACTTTTCCCTTTCAGCAGGGCAGGCAGCACTACTGGACTGTGGAATTCTGTGGAAAACGGAAAACAAAAACTGTGATCAGAAAGCCTGAATTTCCTTCAAATATCACCTCAGTCGACAAGGAGTCCTCTTATATAGTGAATCACTCCTTATTCTCCATCAATCAATAACGCAACATGTACGAGAGTTAATGAACCTCCCCTGACTCCAGACCTTTCCTCCATGATAGAAACCAGGTGTCTGGGCGGGAGACCTTTACGAGGCACATTTCGAGGTTTACGGATTATTCTACCTCGAAACGACTTCCACATTTCAAACAAACAAAAAAAATCCTGTTTTTCTGCAAAATCAAATATGCATGTTTTTAAAAAAATACAATTTTGTACCACATCCAAGTACTTCTGTACTGTACATGCTGTATTTGTTTTCTAATTTTTAAGGAGACAACCACCGCCTCTAGAGACCTTCGCTGAGGTGTCAACAACATTTTCTGACATAAATTTGAAACGATCTTTTAGTTTTACACCTAGAAGGGGACAACAAAACACAGTTTTGGTACATGTGCTGTTCTAAATACACTCTAAAGTTGCTGCTGACAGAAACCTGTTTACAAACAAGAAACCGTTACCGTTTTCGAGCAGAACTTCTCACAAGCGGCACACACGTCGCTAGCGCCTAGCTGATGACAGAGAGCGTAAAGCAAACTTGTACGTGTTATTCTCCCGTCACTTCGATGACTGTTGAGTAGACAAGCTTTTGGTACGTACCTGAGTTGTATGTAGGACGAAATCCCGACGCTCTGAACCGAAAAAGGCTCGCAGAAAGACGAGAAACCCTCGATACTTTCTTCCACTCCACGACACGTCTGGTGGACGGAGACACAGGGGTTAGCGGAATGAACTCTGTAGAGATGGGATTTATGATGAGCAGAGGCAAAGCGGGGGCGGGTCCTTGGTATCCGCGGAGTTCAAATTCCTGTGGCAGTTTTACCTCCATGAAAAATGGAGGTATTGATGATTTTGGCGCGTCTGTCTGTGTGTCTGTCTGTCTGTGTTTCCGCACATTTGTATAGTCAGCATAACTTCAGAACGGCTTAATGGATTATAATGATATTTGGTATGCTGGTAAGTCTTAGGAAGACGAAGGTCGAGGTCAAATATGGGCCTCCTGGTGGATGACCTTAGTACTGCAGCAGAACTTCCGGTTTTTGTATCTTTTGTCCTGAACATGCTATGGTCTTGAATTTTTGGTGACAGATACCTTTTCCTGTCAAGAATAAGTGGTGTGGGTTTGGTCCCCCTAGCAGCTTGTTCTGGAACTGCAGGGACCTTCGGGCGAAATCTTTGAAAGCCAATAAGTCAAGATAGGAACAACGTATTTTCATCCTTTTTGGTAGGTAGGTAGCTGAGAGAGAGATGTACATAATTAAATGTAAATTATGCAAATGACGACTTAATTTGCATAATTAATGAGGAAATTCTATAATTACAGTGTTTTACATTATAGTACTTTCATACATGTAATGTATGTAACCTATGGCAGATGCCACATCAACAGATACTAATTATGCAAATGATGACCTTATTTGCATAATTAATGCAAAAATTCTATGATTTCTTAATGGTGAATGATGGGAATGTCATACTTGGGACATCTGTAAGTTAATCAAAAGTTAACATCACGATGCATATATTATGTTAAGGCAGAGGTCATTTGCGTAATTAAAGAAGAAATTTACATTTACATATCAAGCCCATATTTCATGGAGGTATGAGATCTCGGAACTCTTGTTCAAACTTTGTCCAGAGATTGCTTTCGCGAATACTGTAGAGCTAGGACAGATTAGCAAAATTGCGCATTTCGCAAAATATACGGCCAGACATACAGCCTTGATTAAAGAACAAGGTTAATCAAGTTTTCATGTTAAATAATAAAGAACCAAAAGTCAGCCAGCTATGTTACTTCATCTTTATATGTTGTCTGATTGCCGATACCCTCACGTTCAGAGGATTTCGTATTTTAGGTTGTTGTTGTTCTTTTTTTTGGTAGTCTAGTCTGCTTAGGATTATTTTTCCACAGAGGGAATAAAAGCGCAGTTTTGGCAGCCTGGGGGCTGAATGAAGTGCACAGCTTTGATGTAATATCTCACAAAATACTTGTGTTACAAATTGATTTAAAAAAAAACACACGTTATATTGCAGCTTGATTAGACACATTCTGTATAAATTGGTCAATAATTATTATGAAATTCGTTCAATCTCTTCCCAAGAGTGATTTGCATAGAGCTTGCCTTCGCCTTTAGTGCAACACTATCTACAGACGAGTGAACAGCCGCACCACACGGTCCCCAGGACAGCTGAACAGACGGACAGCAGGAACGCAGCAATGTCCGCTGGTGATCCCAAATGGAAACGGAACATGTTTCTGTTCCAATGACCGCCGAAGATTTACCGAAGGTTTGATTGACGGGGTCGGGTATTGAACCCGTATGTCCTGGGTCACACTACACCTTCATTTGTCGTGTATATTGTCAGAGAATTCCTTACGTTTAATGAGTCATCTTATCCCCAGCGCTATTTGAATAATGTCGGAGAGTCTACTGGGACTTGAGCTTGCCGCCACCTTTAGCGCAACACTTCCTACAGACGAGTGAACAGCCGCACCACACGGTCCCCAGGACAGCTGAACAGACGGACAGCAGAAAAGCAGCCACGTCCGCATGCATTCTGTTCCAATGACGGCCGGCCTAAGGTTTACCGAAGGTTTGATAGACGGGGGTCTTGACCCGGTATGTCCTGGGTCACACTACACCTTCATTTGTCGTGTATATTGTCAGAGACTTCCTTACGCTTAATTAGTCATCCTTAGCGCTATTTGAATAATGTCGGAGAGTCTACTGAGACTTGAGCTTGCCGCCACCTTTAGCGCAACACTTCCTACAGACGAGCGAACAGCCGCACCACACGGTCCACAGGACAGCTGAACAGACGGACAGCAGGAACGCAGCCACGTCCAGCAGGTAGTACTGGTACCACGGCAGCTCCACGGCGCGTGCGCGGAGATGGGGCAGTCCGCCATGTTGGATGACGTGTTCTATCCACCAGACGGCCCGCTCCATGGGTGACTGGGGCTGGTCACGGTGCAGACGGGACAGGCGGGCGGCCGTCTCACGGTAGCTGCGAAGGATAGAAAAAGGAGCAAATCTCTCTCGTCATATAAATCAAACATTCAGCAAAACTGCGAAGGATAGACAAAGGAGCAAATCTCTCTCTTCGTATTAATCAAATATTAAGCAAAGTCTGACAGTAGACCCTCTTCTCTTCTTCTCTAATATAGCATATCAGGTTTTAACAAGTGCACTGATATGTAGTCATCAAACTCTTCTGAGCGACATTGAAGACAAGTAATATGTGTATACCAATCCCTGTATACCCAATCGTAGCCTGGGTGCCAGACTGTTTCCAGGACCTACAAAGGCCAGTTCCTTGGCTCGATCCAGGGCCAACATGCATATTCCCCCAAGGAAAAGTATACGGCCATGCCCGTAGCCAGGATTTTGAATGGGGGGGTTCTTCCCACTGCTTGAGGGGACCTCGAGCGCCGTAGGCGCGAGGCGAGCGCCGAAGGCGCGAGGTTCCTAGGGGGGTCCGGGGGCATGCTCCCCCGGAAAATTTTGAAAAATGAACCTTCTAAAATGGCATTTCGTGCATTTTCAAGAGGATTTCCAAGAAAAAATCAGAGATAGATTTTTATTCAATGACAAAGGGAGCAGTTTTTCTACATAAAATGTGGACCAAAAAGTGGACCTTTACATAAAATGTGGACCAAAAAGTGGACCTTTACATAAAAAGTGGACCAAAAAGTGGACCTTTGAACCTTGTGGGGGGGTTCTTCCGAACCCCCCGAACCCCCCCTGGCTACGGGCATGACGGCACAGCCCTTTATATGATAGTTAGGTGATAGGCACGTTGACTAAATAACTCTGGCTCTAGCGTGCCATGAGTCTGGCATCCAGGCCAACCCCACCGACATCAGCAGTACCTCTTGTTGGTGAGAACATGTAGAATGGCCTGGTACAACTGGTCTGCGGTGACCGTGCTGAAGTCCAGCGTCACCCCCAGCCCCCTGGCCACCACCCGGGCGGCGTTGGCGGGCTGGTCCGAAAACAGCGGCAGGCAGACCATGGGCACGCCGTGGTGCAGGGCCTCGTACACACCGTTTGACCCGGCGTGAGTGATGAAGGCTCGGGTCTTTGGGTGGGCTACAGGACATACATGTATGCACACCGCCAGTGAATAATATTAAAATACACAGAACTGTGCCTAAATCCTGGTTACCATATCTATATCTAGCTGCCGGGTTTAATACTTGCTGTAAACCAATGATTAGCCAGGAGTGTTACAACCCAGGCTATTGTTTACATTAGCACATGAAAAAAATTTGCAACAAAGGAGACTCGGCAGCTAGAATAGGTACAGAATGTTAATTAATAACCAGGATACTGCACGTCATGAATGCTTGAGGTTCTTGTTTTATGGAACGTTATCTTCACAGTAAAGACTTCGATGTTAGATCATCCATATGTAAGCTTAGAGTTAGCGCACATACATGTACATTAGAAATAGAAAAGGGTAGGAAATACAAACAATTGTCTGTTAACGACAGAATATGTAAATATTGTAAATGCACTTTATTTTTCACTGCCCTCATTACAGCACCAAAAGAGATAGGTTATTTGAAATGGTCACCAAAATGTTCCCTAGCTTTATTCACCTTCCCAGCCTACAAAAAACTGCATTTCTATTAACACCTCCCAGTTTATATATATCACAAAATATCGGCCATTTCATACTCCACTGCACACGGAAAAGAAATCAAACCCAACAATAACTACAAATGTATATCTAAAGTAGCATTAGCATTACTTATTATCATTTTTACTGTTTATTTTTGTTATCATGTTCTTGCAATTAGCCCTCGGGCATGGATTTGCAATAAACTTTCATTTATTTATATATTTTTAAGTAATCCAATTATATCCTATATTATCGCTGTTAGTGCCGTATTGTACAATCATTACTTACATTTTTCTACTTCGCCATATTTTGTCTGCCTTATAAATGACAATCTTACCCAGTAGGTCGTTCTGAGGCAGCCAAACCAGCAGCTTGGTGTTCTCGCCCAGCCCAGTCGGCTTCTCTCCCACGTAACGCCACACCACCTTCTGCCGGAGTCGGGCGAAGGCTGCCGCGAAGATTTCTCTCTTCTCTTCCGACATCGTCTTGACCATGGAGCCGAAACTGACGACAATCACTCCATCCTCTCCAGAGCTCTGGACAAACGCCTCCATGTCCTGGAAAAAACATAGACCGCCAATTGTGAGTTTTCATGACTTTCAATCGATATCCACAAACTTACATCGAGAATCTCTATCCGATATCCACCACTCGCTGGAAACTAGTACACACACACACACACAAACACACACACACACACACGCATACACACACAGTCTCATCTGTGTCACACACACACACACACACACACACACACACACACACACACATACACACACACACACAAACGCATACACACACACACACGCATACACACACACATACATACACACACGCATACACACACGCACACACACACATACACACACACAGACACACACACGCACATACACACACACACCCGCACACACAGACACACACAGACACACAGACACACACGCACACACACAGACACACACACACACACACA